TAGAATTAAGGCAGTTCTGAAGGCGAAAGGGGGTCAAACACCGTATTAGTATGGTGTTCCTAATAATCCTTTAGGTGAGTGTATATTATAAACAAGTTTTAATTTATATGCACATATTTTACATTTATTTCAGTAAATTAGATGACTTCATATTGATGAAATTAGATTTATAGGTTGCATTCTAAATGTGAACCCCACAAAGGCGTTAATTTCACCCCGAACACAACAGTGGTCACATTATAGCCAGTGGTCTGCCCTGAGATGTAATGGCACTTCTTTGTACCCAAAAAAACTAAACCACCACCACCACCACCCCCCCCCCCACCACCACCCCATCAAACCTGTTGTCATAAGCTCCTCCAAAGTCGCAGTCACACGGCCGGCACCCAGAGACATCATTGCTGAGCCCCCAGTACTCAGTCTGTGTAGAGAGCGAGATCAGTGACATCCAGACTGCTGCCCACCACCTGGCCGGAGCTAAGAGGAATCTCCACACGCCGGCGTCTTTATCTCAGCCTCACCTGACACTCGCTGCAGTAGCGGCCGGTGACATGCCTCTTGCAGGCACAGTCACCGCTGATCTGGTCGCAGGGTGAAGCCGGAGAGACGATGCCCCGTGGGTCGCAGTGACACGCTGAGGAGACGAGCGCAGCATGAAGCCCGAGGCTGCTCAGGAGCCACAAGGGCCTGAGCTACTGCCGTGTCTCATTCATAACTGCTGCCACAATCATTAAGGAGCTCCTACTCCTCTGCAGCTGCCTGTGATTATACCGCCATGGAAAAAATGAAGAGACCACAGCACAATTTTTTTGTTTCACTCATTTATCAATGTATGGGTGTGCGTCTGTGAATCATATATATTTTTCTGAAAACTGCAGTCTGGTTCTTCCCTGTTTTTCATTAATGAAGGGTTTCTCCCTTATGTTATGGGACCTCAGTCCTGGTTCTAGGAGCCTGTCACAAACTATCCTAGCAGTGCACATCACACCTGCACTTAATGTTTCCCATTACTTTTGAAGTTCACTTGATGTCATCCTTCAATTCATAATAAACTGTCAGATAATTTAACGGTCATCTCTGGCATTAAAATGTCGCTTCCGCCTTTTACCTGGCTGGATTCTTGTCGTTCCCAGTGTCTCCTGCTTCACCTTATTTTTGTGTACTGCTGTCTTAGAAATTTTTAACCTGAAAGCATCTTGATGCTGGCCTTCTGCCAGCATAACCACAATTAAACCATGATTTTAAAATGCAGATTTGTTTAAAAATACAGAGCGGTCTCTTAATTTTCTCCATGGCTGTATGTGTACAGGTAATTGCACAAGGTGGGGCATGCCACCTAAATAACCCACACAGATCTACAGTGGGATCTACCACAGCTTCCCTGGGGGACGGATCTCCAAAAAGGAAGAGGCATGAGCTAATATAAGGTGAAAGGGGCAGGCGTGATGTGACAACAGGCATTTTTTGGATTGGACCAGAGCCCCGGGCACAGAGACACACAGTGCACACACACTTACGCTGGCAGCCCTGCGGGTCGCTCTCGCTGAGGCCAAAGAAGCCGTCCCTGCAGTAGTCGCAGCGCATACCCCTCACGTTGAGCTTGCAGTGGCACTGTCCGGCAATCATGCCCAAGCTGGGATTTGTGTAGGAGTCACACTCGCCATCCTTCAGCGAGCCCATGGGGTCACAGTCACAGGCTGCGTAAGAAGCATGGGGGGAGAAAGAGACCCAAATCAGACATGTACGTCTCAGAGAAAAGGCTGAAATCTGCATTACACACTAGTCCCTATTCACCTATTCAGGTTACAAAAGTACACTATTTTAAATGTTGTTTACTGGAGTTAATCAGGTTAAATGTCACACAAAGTGCTACAACGGCAGTTCTCCTGGTCCTGATTTGAACCAGAAGCCTTTTATCCTCCCCTCTGCTGAAAGAACACAGCACGTGGTTTCAGAGTCGCAGCCATGGTGTCTAAGTCTGTTCCAGCTGCACAGCCCTGATCAGCCAAGACTTCCTGGCCGTCTGACTCACGGACACACACTGCGGGGTCCCGGATGTCCCTGGCAGGGTCCTGGTAGTAGAAGGGCTTGCACATCTCGCAGTTACGCCCCATGGTGTTGTGCTGGCAGTTGTCACAAACGCCGCCGCTCACATTCCCCGTGGCCAGGTACACAGCCATGTCAAAATGGCACTTGTTGGAGTGCCGGTTGCAGTTGCATTCTGGACAATATAACAGATGACATTTATGATGGTGTAAGGCTGAGGGAAGTCATGACAAAATCAATTGACAAGCCCGTTCATTAACCTGCACTGATTTCTTACATACTTCCAAAGCTCGTGACCTGTGTGAATCTGTAGCCCATCTCATTTTCCCATGAAAATGCATTCATTTCTCAGCTACGCATATTTTTATCCTCCTGAGACCCCACCCATTCATTTATGTCCATTGTAGTGGACATTTTGTTTTTGCATATATCTTTTCACTCATGTAAGGAAACATATTTATTCCTGTTGTACACTAAAGAGGACATGCTGTGAAATTAAAAATAAAAATTTGAAAAAATCTAAGTTGTCTTATTTCCTCCAAAGACAAATAACCTAAAACTGAAGGATACTTTTTTCCTCTGGTCTCAGGAGGATGTCTCACAACAGCGTATGATAGAGGGCACTCTGAGAAATACCAGCAGTGGCCTCGATATAAGCAGGGGGCGGCTGCAGCACCTTTGCAGGTATGTGGCTTCCCCAGCTCAGCTGGCCTCCAGGGCACATCTTGGTGGAAGTCCTTGCAGTGCTCGCAGTTCAGCCCCTCTGTGTTGTGCTTGCAGACACACCGACCATGGATCTGCAGCCCACACGACAGGCATCCTAGCCTTAGCGTAACCCCACCCAATCTTTAACAGTTGCCAAATGCTAAATTTAAGAAGTGATGTCCAGCAACATCACACTGTACCAAAAAGGGTACTTTGCCTTCCTAACTATTGACATAATTGTTGTTGTTATCATTATTACTGTTATTACAAGGCCACTAGACCTGTGGGCATTCCATGAAGGAGGATTTCTCAGTTAGTTGGGTTAAGATAGAAGTCATGATTGTCCAATAGGAATGCTCCTTACCTAAACTCTTATTGGACGATCATGACGTCTCGCTTAAGTTAACCCAGCTAACAGAGAAATCCTGCTTTGTGGAACAATTGCCATGGGATGGTCAGTTAATAAAACATGGTTTGTTGCCATGACAATGACGACCCAGGCTCTACAGTACCAACCATGCCGACTTCATTGCCTGTGATGCCAGGAACGGGGGTGCACTCAGAGGCATGGCCGTAGCAGAAGCAGCTGCCTCGCACCACCAGCTCGTACACGGCGTAGTAGTATTTCTCCAGCACATCCGGACGTCGGTCCAGGAGGTTGTCCCCCAGGGTGTGCAGCTTGATGAATCTGACGCGCAGGTTGGTGATCCGGAGAAGATCTGTGGGAGGTGGGGGTGTTATGAGACATCGGAACGGGTTGGACCAGCATGTAAATACTAAGGGTGTAACAATACATCGATTTGTATCGATATATCAATTCAACCGCAGACGAACATCGATGTAACCGCATAAATATCGATACATGCGTTTTTATTTTCTCGCCTGTTCCAGTATTGTTTTCATGATCCACTCCGACGTATACATGGTCTACGCCAAATACGTCGATCGCGACCTACTGGTCGATCGCAAAGGTAGTGTGGGTAGATCATATGGCATAAAAAATAGAGGATGGTTGACGCGTTCAACCGCACCAGCTGCTGCAAGCTACCGAGTCCCCTAGTTAGCCTCCAATTTATTTCTACTAAACTTACGAAAGGGTATAAGAATGAATGGGGGAGCTGGACCAAGTAAGAAGCCAAAAACCTGCCACTTCCATACGGAATGGGAGGAGGACTGTTTTTTTCCCCACCATGTCATATTCGAAGTGCATTTGCCTCATCTGTCAGTCTACCGTTGCTATTCCGAAGAAGGGAAATGTGGAGCGGCATTTTCGGAGTGTTCATCAAAACTACGACATTAACTTCCCTCTGAAAAGCGAGCTGAGAAAGAGAAAGGTGAAGGAACTAAAATCTCAGTTCAATTAAAAAATACTGTATTCATCCCAAAGGCAAATTAATAATTATAATAATAATAATAATTAATAATAAAGAATACTCAATATTTTATACATAAACATATGTTTTGCATTTTTATAGTAGGTAGATCATTTTGACTTGGTCATTTATAAGTAGCTTGCAAGCTAGCATACCTTCAGAGCGTGTGTTTAGTACGGCAGGTGACATAGGACGCTATGCTCAGAGCACACAATCTCCTGAACACGTTGACCATTTAATTTTTCTTTAAAAAAAAAAAAAAAANGGCAGGTGACATAGGACGCTATGCTCAGAGCACACAATCTCCTGAACACGTTGACCATTTAATTTTTCTTTAAAAAAAAAAAAAAAAACCTCTCAAAGCAGAATACTGACATACTTGTTTCACTGCAGAAGTCAGTCATGTTGATCTTCCTCATTGTACATGTCTGTCCATGCAATGTTTTTAATTTGACTTTATTGCACTTTATTTTACTTGTTCTTGTTGTTGGGGGGGGTGGTGGTATTGCAAGCACAGCACATAACATGGGGAAAACTTCAATGACAGATCTGGGCGACAGACTCTGACGTGGACTTAAATACACAGGACTAGACGAAACAATAAGAAACAGCTGGGAACAATCAGGATTGCATGCGAAGTTAATGAGGGGCGTAGCACACGAGAGGGTCATAGGAGCAGGTCATGATGGTTATGGACATACTTTTATAGTTTTTGTTACACTTTTGTATTTATCTGGAGAAGACTTGATTCAAAATAAAAATTAGTCACCATGTTAATCTACATCCATCCAAAGTTTTTATTTTTACCTTATTGCACTTTATTTTGCTTGATTTATGGGACATACTTGACTACACTAGATTTTGTTTACAGTTCCCAATAAAATATGATAAAAATGCTAATTATATTTGCCTTTTTTAATTCATTGAAATGTAAAGGATTTTGTGAAAGTTCATCATTTCGACTACTATCCCCAGTATCTAAAAGAATCGAATCGTATCGCATCGTATCGTATCATGGGAATTTCTGAGGTATCAAAAAAAATCGAACCGTTGGCTTAAGGAATCGATATTGTATCGTATCGCGAGGAAAGCTGTGATTTACACCCCTAGTAAATACACAATTGGGGTGTGACTAACTGACACACAGTCCTTGCCCAATGACTTTGTGGGAACCATATGGGAACCGTGTGAACCATGTGAGAAAACCATATTAAACACATGAAGTGTTCAACAACAGTGGGATGTGCTGAGGTGGGTTTAAGAGTATCCTTTTAGTAGAAAACACTAGCAGGTTTTTCAACGTTGGGTTTGGATTAAAAATTTTCAAAAATAATGTCTTATTCACCCACGTCAATATCTCACCTTGAATGTCACGACTGTAGGGGTCTTTGACATGAATAGCAGGATCAAGCACTTTGTAAATGATCTGCAAGGGACAGCAAGAGTAAAAGAGACTAGAGATTGCAGGACATTAAACTGGGACAGATTTCACAAGGACGATCTACGTAAAAAGCAACAGACCTCCCCACTGGAGGAAGGCTCGATGTTAGAGTAGCGCTCCTCACAGATGACATCGGTAACAAAACGGGGGGCGCGGGCAGGCACATAAGGGAACATCCTGGTGCAATTGTAGGAGAAGTAGCGGTAGGGATTCCAAGATTGACCGAAATTCATAGAGCGTTCAATGACCATGGCAGCAGGCCTGAATGTCTGGGAACAAAGAGAACCACATCACAAGCTCTCTTCGATAAGTAGGCTTTCACTTACAAAGACATTACATTGCCATTATAGCAACCTTTAAATCCATCCATCTATAATTCAATCCAGAGGTGGATAGTTCAGGTCCAGAAAGTAAAAATTCAAACCAAGACTTTGTTTCAACCAACCAGTTGAGTACTCTGTGACTCGTTATATTCAACTGATTGGTTGAAACAAAATCTTGTTCTGGATTTTTATTTTGTGGACTTGAACCTTGAACATTTGATTCAATCACTCATCCAGTACAGGGTCACAGTGAGTCTGAAGCCAATACCAGGAAGAATGGCACATAACCAAGGAGAACATAATGTATCGAATGCCACTCATCAAAGGGCAGGTGTAGAGAACTTACACACTATCTGCAAATCAGAGTGACCAGTTCACCTAAACCCTTGTTTGTAGACTGCAGCAGTACACTTACTCTGAACTTCATGATGAGATGAGTAAAGTGGAACTCAGCCTCCAGATCCAGCCTGAGAGTGACGTTCTCCTCACCTTTGGGGAAATGCAGAGGAACCACATACAAAAATCTATGTCAGGACAAGCAACGTTCCCAAACATCAAACAGAAAACCATAGGTGACCTCACCGTTGACTGACTGCCACCAGTTGAGGTTTCCATTCCTGTCTTTCAAGTAGATGACATTCTCCACCCGGTGGCTGTACTTATTCCTGATAGGGTCATATGGCGATTTGGAGTTGCACGAAAAACATTTGTCTTTCTCCTAGAGAATAGAAATAATAAAAGGGCTGTTTACTAAAAAGAACTCTTCCTGATTTTTGTTCCTGGTGACCTTTTATCAGATACAACTAAGTTCCCTGCCCAGGATAAGTGGTTAGAAGGTGGATGGATGGGTGGATGCTTATTTAGAGGTGAAATGTAAAAAACCCTAGAATGTACAGAAACCCATTTTCCAGCAGGCTGTGGAGCAGATATCCAAGCAAAAATAATGACAAGACTTCAGAAATGGTCTTCCCAGATGTATTGTCATACATTTTATTTAGTTATGTTTCATTTTGTTTGTTCACTGCTTACTTGTATGTTCCCATTATTATATTCCCGCATCTGTCCACACAAATAAAGATTTTTGTATGTTTAAGTTATCATTGGGCTTAGATCATGTGCACCTTTACTCACTGTCTGACTCACAATCAGATTTTAAAGCTGAACAAATGAAATATAAATAAACAGCAGCATGCTAAACCCAAACAACAAAAAATAAGTAGGGGCCTCAAAGGCAAATAATTTTGCGGGCTCTGTAAGCTACAATGAGTGTGGTAAACCTTTTCAGTACAGGCCCACTGCAAATGAGCTGCTGTTACAGCTTTAGTTCCAGTCCATCAACTGTGTCATGGCTGTACAGTAAGTGACAAACAGAAGCTCCAAAAGAAAATATGTTGATGTGGGCAACAGACAGCAAGACAATCCAAGATTAACTTCAGAGACAAACAGAAGTGACCCAACTAAGGCTAATAGAAGAACTCAAACAGAAATGAGGAGTGGGCACTAGCAACACCAAGACACTCTTCAAACCAATATGCAAGAACAAAATCCAAAATCGCAACCACAGTATCACAGTATTTTTACTTCATATGCAGAAGTCAAATTAGCAGAGAAAGCGAAACATTAAGCACATCCATCCATCCATCTTCTAACCACTAATCATCTGGATAGGGTGGTATTGGGGCTAATTATCCTAAATGGATATCTCTGAACTATGGAAAAAACCTGCAGGACACAATAAGAACATGCAAACTCCACACACACAGAAGAGGTTCCGAGTCCTTAAACCCCTATAAAAGGTATGAGGCAACAGTGCTACCTACTAAGCCACCCCATTGACTCTGGCTCAACTCAGTCAATTTAAATTTTACATAGCACCCTTCACAGCACAGCAGCTCTCAATCAGTCCTGTGAAAGTCGGGCCTTGTTAGTCTAAAGCCTGAAAATGTGGGTGGGAGGTCCACCTTATGCAGTAGCTTAGCTAGTGAAGAGAATTCAGAAACCTTAAAGCTTTTTGATCTTGAGCCCAGTTCCTTAACTAGAAGTTTAGGCTAATAATTCTACTACCGTTGTTATTTGTGTCCCACAATAAACCATCCAAATCATACAGAGATAAGCTAGGTCATGGAACTGTGATCCCTCAACATATGCACCATATATGGCAAAGAAATGTGTTTTTTTTTTCAGTGAAGTGCTTTCTGTAAGGCCATATTGTTTTGTTAGGTGAGCATGAGGGGTTGACAGGTTTGGACGTGCCTGTTAGGAAGAGACAGGCATACAGAATTCATTCATATATTTTATGGAACTCAAAAATAAGCATGTCTAAATATGTACTCAAGCACTCAAGTATCACTGAAGAATGTAAACATTATGGGTGACAATGATTCAGATTCAATTGTCTGTTTCTACTGGGCAAAAACATCTGCCTGTACACATATCTGGGCAAGTCCATACAAAAATGACATGTGAACTGAGTTGAGTCTGGAAAGTATGAGTATTTACATACTGAAAACAGGAAGTAAATATTTTTCTTAACATGGTCATGAAATGGAGTACAGTATGTGTCCTTGTGTGGTCATTCAGGTATATGGATGCATATGTGACATGCATTAGAGGTTGATGAGCGGTGATCCTCACTAGCAGGTGGCTGACAATGCAATATTGCTCTGGAACATGCAGGCCACAGGTTGAGGTAGCTGTCAGGTTAGCAGCTCGACCAATGAGGAGGTTGCCTGTTGCTGGGTAACAGCTTCCATCTGTGCATCCATGTAGGGTTGATGGCAAGTCTTGAGTGAAGGTGCTGACAGCTAAAGTTGGAACATAGAGGACACACGTGAGGCAGACCAAGACAAATTGGATGTAATTGTAAATGAGCTATATTTGGGCTGGAGAAGAAGCAATCATTCAGCAGTCAATGTAAAAATAATCACAGGTGCAATAGAAAGGAAATAGTCACTCCATAAACAATGGAAAGTAAAATACAGTTGGAATACAGTTGGTCATTGTAACCAATGGGTTCACAAACTCTGAAGCAGCATTGTTTGCTTGGCCCCATGGTTAATGACTGAGCTGTGATAAGCCATAAACTCAATATCCTGTTTTTGGACAATAGGACTCAACCATCTATAGCACACAACCGTTAAAGAATGAGTACCTACAGTGACCATCTGAAATCCTACACATCAAAGAGGCATGTTCTTATGAAATAGAAACATCTCTCTCCATGCCAACAAAGCATGAGGTCAGTGCTTGGCTTGGCAGTTACAGCTATAAGACTTCGTTGTAAATGAACACACATGGAAAACCTTCATGAAATCTAATCTAGAGATTGATGTAATTTGCGTAATGCTATAAGCCTACTATATCAATTTACCAACTGCATTTCAAAAGGAAGGGCTGTGAAAGAATTCAGGGTTTATGCTGTTGTGATCAGGGCTGGATTCAGGCATAGGCAAACTAGGAAACTGCTTTGGACCCATTCAGCACATGAGGGAAAAAAACACATAACATTCATGTATATAGAATTCATAAACAGGAATAATTACAAGAAATTAAGAATAAGAATTATTATTATTATTATTATTATTATTAATAATAATAATAATAATAATAATAATGATTATTATTATTATAAAAAACCAATACACCAAATTAAAATGTTTATGTGCAGTGAGAAACATGGCCGGCCCTAGTTATAGGCACAAAAGACAATTGCCTAGGGCTCCCGAATTTCAGTGAAATGATCATCAGATTTCTCAATTTAGAGAGACCAATTTCCAAAATGGGAGGAATCTGGAGTACCCAGAGGAAACCCGTACAACACAGATAAGACAAACAAACTCCACACCACAGAGCAGGGATGCAATTCCAACTCTCAGCACCAGAGATGAATGGCAACAATGTTACCCACTGAACCACTCCATAGGTCTTGCTTTGATCATTACACTGCAAATACTGCATTATTACAAAGGGTGTGTATCACACAATTCTATTGCATTATGAAATTATTATAGACAGAAAAAACACAGGTTACTGCAAGCCGGTTGGCACCGGCAGAAGAGCAGCAACTTTGCGCTAGCTTGTCACAGCATGACTGTAATGGAATACAGGCAGACTACAGATGACATCTGCATTGCACAATGAATTGTCATCCTGTTCACAACCAGTTCACAACAACTAAACAGAGAGTTTCACTGTGATTCCACACTTTAATTACCAGAGTGATTATACATGCCCAATAGGACTGTTAAGGACCCACGGTGTTGTCAAGATCTGAAACATACACACATGCAAGGAACCTTGAGTCAAGCAGGAAATGACAACAGTGTGACTACATGTGTGGGTGGCCTCTAATGCTAGCCAATTAGGTCACCAATCTGCCATAGCATAAGTACGAGTTTCCACCCCTACCACACATACTCTTCCCTTATTTAACAAATCCCTCCACACATCCTTTCCTCCACCTGCTCTTTCACTTTCAACTACCAGACTCTCCCATTCATATCACAGGTCCCCAGACAGGGAATTAGAAAGGGAACATTCCACGGTCACCTTCTGTAGGCCTAGCATAGGAATGTGACTAAGTACAGACATATACACACATACATAAAAAAACATTCACAAGCAGCCCGGCAATGACTCTGGCATGACCAACGAAACTCACACACACAACAATCAGGTTTACAGCACTGCTAAAACAGAGTGCAAACAGCCTTCCACTTTCCTGAGGTAATGTTTTACTCATGAACATCCATAAACATGCAATTAGCTTTAACCCTGACTGAATTTCATTAGATAACTGACAAGAAGAGGAAACTCCCTGTGTCCATAGGGCAGTTGAATTATATATCACATATCTTTTGTACTTAATGTAAATTCACCACAAGAACACCGACTGCATGCCTAAGCCAGCTCAGGATAGTATTGGGGATACAGACAGACTTTATTTTATTTATTGCCTTGTCCGATAGGAACTTTTATTCCCAGAGAAAATTCCACATTTACATGGTCTGCTAGGATGAAAAAGAAGGAAATGTATGGGTGTGGAAGGGCAGAATTCCCACAGCATACCAACAAGCTCTCTAGGTTAAGTGAGGAACACTTAATTATTAAAGAATCCTAACAAGCACAGCTCTGACTCTTTCAGGCCCGTTTGATTGTGCCAGTATTGACATTCCGTGTCAGAAAAGGGGCAACCATCACTCTTGCAAGTTGGGCTGATATCATCCAGATATACCCATCCATATTTCATATCAATCCAGCCAGTTCTCTGGGTGAGATATTCAACCAATTAAGATTACACTAAACTCTGTGAAGCCTTCCAGCCATGACCCTGTTTATGTGGTGGAGGACCAGCTGATGGAGGTTAATGTTTGTTTGGCTGTATACAGTAATGTGCTCATAAATCTCACCCTTGGAATGTGTCGGCATACAGATGATTTTCTTTGAATAAATGGTCACAGTATGAGCAACACAATCTGCTTAAGCAAACAATGGGTCTTATTAACAGGGAGTGGCGGGCAAACGAAGGTCTTTGTACATTTGATATCACAGTACCGGCCACTGAGATGACAATGAGGAAACTGAAAATGAAACAGCCTAATCCTTGGTCTTTCCATCTCAGAAGAATGGGATCATTATGGGTGCATGCTATTTGATGTGCTTTTCCTGTATGGGAACTGCATTGGATGAGACAGATGTTTAAGATTAAGCTCCCGTCTATTCTTATTTCTTATCTCTAAGAAAATGTTCTACTGTATTTCTAGATTATTATTCCATGGCAGAAATGTAGTTTGTGTTAGAAAATTCATTTTTGCTTTGGAATACAAATATCCATATCCACAATATATTTATGGATTTTAGGGCCCCAAAAACAACCTTTCCACTCCATGTTTCTTCTCCCAGCAGCAGACCGGGCTGCTTGTCAGAGTGATAACCCTGTTTTATTTCATTCCTGTTCTTTGTAAATATGTGCAAACCAACATGGAATAACATGGAATAATAATACTCTAATGCAAACCATGCCTTTGCTTTTGGGGCCCCAATCTAGTGTCCCAGTGACTGTGGCACAAAGCAAGGACCTGATATCACTCTTTGAGAGGCAGCGGTGCTCTGGGAACAATGGCATTCTCAGGCCTACATGGCTCTGCACAAAGCAGGCTGCAGGTCACGGAAAGTCAGACAAGCTGGCAAACAAAGACAGGTGGGTGAAGCCACAGGCCGGATGAAGGTGGGGCTTCTCCTCTTCTGGTCCAATATGCCCAACAGCTCACTGTTTGTGTCCTTCTCAGTGTTTTGCAGCTGTTGCCAATTGAACTGTTCATATCTGTTGCTATGCTCTGAAGCCTGGACCTGAGGTGCTTTCAAATTGCATGTGCGTTCCCTGCCATTGTTAACAGGCTCGAAGGGAGGCAGGAGTACATGAATATTCAGGAAAACTGTTACTGTTTTTTTTTTTTTCTTTCTTTCCAGGCAGTATTGGGGGCAATAAGAGAAGGGAGAGTGAAAAACACAGCAATGCAAACCAAAGACTTTCCTGGTGTCAGAGAGGTGCTCAGCTGGCTTCTGAGTGTATGGGTGTGTACTAAAAGTGCGCGATTTTAGGGCGTAGTGCGTTCACACTGACAACTAAGCCAAAATTCAGTGCACTGAAAGTACCCGGATGGTGCACTGAAAACGGCCAGAAAACGCAGTGCAGAATGATGGACACTACTCGCACTAAACGGATGCCATTTTGACTACGTAGCGGAAGGGGAGGGACTTTCGGCAAGTTTTTATTGTTAAATTAAGGCGGACAACAACACAGACACGTAAGCCCAAGCGGAGGCAACTGCTTCATATAAATCTAAGCAACGTTAATAAAATTATTTTACTGATGTATACTGCGGTGTCTAGCCTGTCACTCTCTGACGACAGTTATAGATAATTTGTTTGAGTTTGCGATTATATGGACTTTGCACATGTAAATGTTAGCAGTTTTTTTTAGCCGGTTAGGCGGTAGTAGATAGGTTATATACACGCAAATAAAACCACAAGGAAATTCATTGTAAACAAATCACGGCAGATATTTTGGTGCGCTGGAGAATCGCGATCAAATGCTAGTCCGTCACTTCCGGTAAGTGCAAAACGTTAGTGTTCCATTTAGGACAGCACTTACCCATGGTAGTGTGCACTACAGAAGGAAGTACGCAGTGCGCACTACGCACTACATCTCAGTGCACTGACACAAGTGCGCGATTTCGGACATACCCTGTGATTAGCTGGCGCTCAAAGCGACCACTTAGGGCCAGTTTATGTGGTGGGTAATTGAAGGCAAACATAAGACATCATTTGGCAAGAATGCAGGGAAGTGAAAAACAGCATAGCAAAAAAATATATATATAACTAAGTGCCAAGGTGTTACCAGGAGCTGTCAAATGTAAATCCTCAGGGCATTCCTCCTGGAGCCCTTACTTCTGCACAACACCTCCCACTAAAACAACTCTATCTACAAGCTGGGGCTCTTCATCATGTACACAGTCAAGCCTATAACTGCCTCAAAGCAGTGCCACCATGGGTAACCAGGCCAAAAGCATCACTTTCTGAACACGTCCTGCAGAAAAGTAATGTAAGATAGTTGAACAGGAAAGTACTAATAACACAGCCACACAGACTAACCCAGACCTTCAGCATGTGATATGTGAGATACACTGGAAAGTGTACCATGACCCTATGTAGGAGACTAAACTCACACTCATCATAAGAGTGAGTGTCATCATAAGAAAGTGCTGCTTTTCTCTATTTATTCTACATGGTTACTTTTAAAATCAAAGCCTTGTTGTAAAGTCTAGTACCCTTTTGCAAGCAGATCCAAGCCCTGCTTGGCCTAGGAACCCCACCACAAAGACCCAGTGATCTTGCATATGCACACAACACCTGATATTATCGAGGATTAACGAGAAACAGCCCAAATGGCAGTGTATGGTGGGGAACTGCTCCGGGGTTACTGCATGGATATCACTCCTCTCTCAGGAAACCATGAAAGCAATCCTGAGCTACAGCAGCACGTGGAAAGCAATCACAAGATCAAGTAATCCGACTTTAATGGGATTACTGCAGGACTTTAGGAAAAAAGCTCTCGGGTATAAGAGCTGGAATGCCAACAGTTTCTTCCAAAGAGGCGTCCTCATGGTTTAGAGTCCTACACATACTCTCTTCTAGGTTTTTAATGACGGACGTCATAAAGAATAAACACAGCCTGCTGCACGTCTCTGTGTCCTACCACTACAGCATCTCTGAACAACCTGTAAGTCACGAGGAATAGGGTCATTATTCCTGCAATAATAATTACAATAATGATAATGTGTTTAAAAAATAAGTTTTAATCACAACCATCACCACAAGAAACAGCTTTGTGATCCTAAAAAAATTGTATGCTGAAAAAAATTAGATATGCAGATTAGAAGGATTATGGACATCCAGGTCAGGGCTAGGCACTGTGAACTAATGCAACGTGGATTTAGGAGAGGTAGAACCTGTTTAACTAATCTACTTGGGGTACCTCAGGGTTCAATTTTAGGACCACTATTTTTCCTAATTTACATTAATGATATTGACACTAATACATACATTAGACTGGTTAAATTTGCAGATGACACCAAGTTGGGTGGTGTAGCAGATACTAAACTAGCAGCACTGAGATTACATTGGGATCTTGATTTAATTAGCAACTGGGCTGATACCTGGCAGATAAAATTTAATATAGATAAAGGCAAGATAATCCATGCAGGGAGCAGAAATATAAAGTAAAGATATTTTATGGATTCCATAGAAATAAAGGTAGCTGATTATCAGAAAGACCTCGGTGTGTATGTTGATTCTTCCATGTCCCACTCTCACTAGTGTGGGGAAGCAATTAAAAAGGCAAATAGGATGTTGGACTACATCTTTAGGTGTGTGGAGTTTAAGTCAAGGGAGGTGATGCTATGATTATACAATTCCTTGGTAAGACCCCACCCAGAATATTGTGTGTAGGTTTGGTCGCCATACTTTAAAAAGCACATTTCTGCCTTGGAAAGGGTGCAACGTAGGGCTACAAGAATGATTCCTGGTCTTAGAGGAATGTCTTATGAGGAGAGGTTAGCTGAGCGGCATCTGTTCAGCCTCGCGCAAAGGAGACTAAGGGGGGACATGATCCAGGTATATAAGATTCTAACAGGTCTGGATGCTGTACAGCCAAATGGGTACTTCAATATTAATTTAAATGCTAGAACTTATGGCCATAGGTGGAAATTAGCAGGAGAACATTTTAAAATGGATTTTGAAAGCACTTCTTTACACAGCGTGTAGTTAGAGTAGGGAATATTCTTCCTGTTAGTGTAGTGCAGGGGTGCCCAACTCCAGTCCTGGAGGGCCGGAGCCCTGTGTAGCTTAGTTCTTTCCCTGTTCCACCATAAATGATTCAGCTCAAGAGCTGTGTGGTAATTAACACAAGGAGTTGAATCAGGTGTGTTAAATGAGGGGAAACCCAAAAATGTGCAGGGCTCTGGCCCTCCAGGACTGGAATTGGGCACCCCTGGTGAAGTGCAAGCTAAAACCTTAGATAAGATTTTAACAACTCTGAGTTATTAGCCGAGTTCTCCCCAAATGAGCTTGATAGGCTGAATGGCCTCCTCTAATTTGTAAATTTTCATGAGATCAGTGGGTTATAAAAGGAGTCACCACAGAGACAGCATCACTTTACAATATTGGAAGAAATCAGCACTCTGCTCAGCAGATGATCACCTGAGCGTAGGGTTGCACAATATCAAATTGCGATATAATTGTGATTACATGGGGCATGGGCAATAATGACCAGGGCTTCAGATGACGGGTGAAAACATTTGGTAATTAGATTAGTAGTACGATTAAAATATTAAGAAGAGGTGTATTGTGATGCCCAAAAGCTAGTAATCTGCATATACAGTCATGTGAAAAAATTAGGACACCACATTAAATATTTAGTTCTTTATTAAGAAATAGCAACATATCAGTATTAAATCTTCTTTCAAATTATATCTGTAGATGACGGTGATGTAATTGCATCATCTATGCAAAAAGCCCGGATCTGAATCCTATTGAGATGCTGTGTGGTGATTTGAAGCAGAAGTGCATGCAAGACACCCTTCAAGCTTAAGGAATTCTGCATTGGAGAGTGGGGAAAGCTTTCTGCCAGTCGATGTCAGAGATTGATAGATGGTTATAGAAAACGTCTCATTTAGGTTATTTCAGCTAAAGGGGGAAATACTAGTTATTAGGGCACAGGGTGTCCTAACTTTTTCCTCAGTAGGAATTGGCATCTTAGTTAATTTCCTTTGTTAAATAAGTGAATATGTTTCTAGTTTTTGCATAGCTGATGCAATTACATCAGCTCTATCTACAGATATAATTTGAAAGAATATTTAATACTGATATGTTGCTATTTCTTAATAAAGAACTAAATATTTAATGGGGTGTCCTAATTTTTTCACATGACTGTATACAGTGGTACCTTAGAACTCGAACTTAATCCATTCAGGACTCCGGATCGAGTCCTAAAAAGTTTGAGTTGTGATCGAATTTTCCCCATAAGAAATAATGGAAAACCAATTAATTGATTCCCGGCCCCAAAAAATTACACCTAAATATGTTTTTTTTAGAATTTAAACACAAAATGAACAAGATAAAACAAGAAGAGTATATACTGTACTAAACACATCTAAGCACATTTATCAAAACAGTAATTTGTAAAGTAATAAAATAAATGTATCCAAACAATGTGTAAAGTTAAAAAAAAAACGTGTCCTGCCCCGATCGTCCACTCCTTCCGTGTGTCACGCCCCCTGAAGCTTTACCCTTTGTTTCCGCTGAGAGACGTGCGGTGTGACTCATTTCCCCGGTTTGACTTCTGAGATTCAGATCGAGCTCTAGGTAATTTTTTAACTGGTTGGTTCGACTTTTAAGAAATTTTAGTTCTAATGAGTTTGAGAACTGAGATACCACTGTACTTGTATCCTACATTTATTACATTAAGTTAGCGGAGTACTCCTCATACTGCTGTTTTGGTATATCATGGAAGTGACTTATAAGCACTGAAGTGGTGGTAAAGAAAGGGACAGCTGAACAGCCACAACATCTTTTGAAAGAGGAAGTATTGTGGATAAATAAAGAAAAAAAAGAATTTGGTGGTGTGGTGGTACTTTTTGCAGTTTAAAGTCCGACACGTTAATTAAACATAAGGATTCACAGAATATATACAGATTAATTTGATTGATTAATGATGAACAAATGTGACAATTCGTATGTGGTTGTGATCAATTGAATCATCTTTTATCTCTTAGGTTAGGCCTTACCAAACTAAGATATGTGTGTTTTTTTCCAGAAGAGGAGACTTCGGGAGCATTTGTCCTCTCCTGTCTACATTACCACCCTAGTCTGAGTGAAATAACAATAGCTTCAGAAGGTGACTGTGACTGGGAGGTTGGGAACCATGATGGGATGGTGCAGAATATCCCTGGTTACTATGGTTATCTAATACCTTTCTGGAGTTTTCAGCCGTGACACCCGACAACCAAGAGGAAAAATATCTTTGAAGTCAGTCACTTTACAGATGTTCCAATTCTTTACATTTTTTATGCTTTCTCAACTGGCAGCATCTCAAAGGGGCACGTATTAATTTCAAGAAATGTCACTTAGTTTGTTCCTTTCGAATGGACTTAGGAGGTATAGGTATAAAAACTACCAGTGGGTTAGACTTTTAACGTGTGAGATCTGTGAGAACATTGGCGCCATATTCCTTTACAGAGGAACCAACACCATACAATGGTCCTGAATTTTAGAAATGGTCAAACCATCCATTGCAAACTCTTTATACTAATTAACTGATATATAAACAAATAAAATTTAACAAATAGCAGACTGAGGTCTTTCTAACTGGCATTAAATGTTCAAGATGTTCATGTAGTGCACAGCTTGTTGTCAAATGAAATGCAATCGTGACATTGATATTAGGCAGCTTTTGGCTAATGTGATTGCACTGTGAAACTTTACTTCATAAACACTTACCATACAAGGTGGGTAGGGAAAAACATCACTTACCTAAGAAGACCAAACTGAAAAGGCCAGCCATGATATGGAGTGACCTCACACAGCATGTCCCCATCTGGCAAACTACAACACAGAGGAACATACAGTCACTGGCCTGGTACTTTGTGTCTGCAATGGAAGTCAACTGAAAACTCTCTTCCTACAGTAGCTATATCTGCAGAGTAGATGAGTTTCTCCACCATACATTGACTATGCACTGCAGAATCATAACCTTGCATACAAAGTATGAATGCATGTCTCCGATTTCAGAAATGAGGCGTGTTTCTAAACACACAATGTATGTGTGGTGATTATGGGTTACTCAAAAGCTAGCTTTGTTTTAATGTAACTTTCAGTTGCACCAATTGACCACACATCAAAACTCAGCCCATTGATAAAAAGAGAACGTGTAACAGTAGCTTAATTAATCACTAATTGGCTACTGATACTTTGCCAGGGGAAACCTGAAAATCATTGTTTCTGTGGCCAGAAGCTACAGAAATGGTTTCTGTGTACATAATATCTGCAAACACAACTAGAGGGCAGCTCACCCTTATTACACATTACTGGGAACATTACAGTATTACAGTATTCTACTCTTTTAACCTTTTCAAGACCTCCATTTTAACAACCTCTGAAAGCAGCTCATCACATATGTCACGAGAGTAACAGCTATAATACTGATATTTAATTAATTCAAGCACTTGTCCGGTACTGAGTCATAGATAGTACAATTAAATTAAATAGATACCATATAAACATTGGCTTAGTAGTTCTGCACAGCAGAAATATGATACAATGATACCCACTTGGATAAGCAGAGTCTAAGTATCTAAACATAAACAGAGAAACATTTTCTATTCCTTTTGTAGGGCTGACTGAATGCATTTCCTGCAAAACATGCTCCATTGCCCAGTAAGGCTCAATGTTTCTTGCAAAACATTTTAAACAGGAAAAAAACAAATGAGTAGGACTGAAATCTACATGGAAAATTTTCTTTGAAAGTCTGTAGGAAAACAGTAGGCTACATAGGAACTCCACTCACAACATCCACACCAGTGATTCCCCTACCATTATATTAGGAAGGTATCCCGCCCCCCTAACGGCACCTCCTGCCCCCTCCTGAAGGTTAAGTTAATGTTATTTAATTTTATTTTCTATATAGCACCAGATAACAACATAAGTCATTTAAGGTTACCTTTCCTATTGAACAGGTCTATGCAATGCCCTTTTATTAAACAAACTAAATAGCCTTATGTTATTTATCTTATTTACACAACAGCTTGTCATTTTTGTCTCTACACGGTCACACGTTTACAATTCTCCTCTGCTCTCTGTATTGTATATAGTCCCACCCCGAATTGCGCACACACACAGGTGAGCACACTCCCACCAGTGGACAGAGAGCATGCGTCGGAAAATATGTCGCGTCAACCACCTGAAAAGCAGATAAAAATATCTGTGTTTTTTTGACTGCTGTCATTAAAAGAAACACATGAACATCATGAATCCTGTCGGTGTCCGTCTGCCCCCCCCCCCCCCCAAAGCTGTAAACCTAGGGGAAACACTGCACACAGAGAGGTCAACTGACAAATGTCTTTCCAACAGGACACTATGAGGTAAACAGATGCCAATGCAATTTCCCCATGCAACAGGGTGGCTTCCTGCATAAATTAACTGAATAATTACAGTGTGCTGCCAAAACACACAAAAGAAAACAGGCAAACAACACCAAGCAGATGGATGGTGAAGATTTACTAAGATGCTACAAAACAATGACTGTGCAGTGTAACCTGGAGACAAGTTTTTAACAAGGCAGAAACAGCTTGAGTACTCACACTGCCAAAGAAATTTTTTTGCTGCGACCAAACTTCTCATGCGAGACCTTCCTGCATCCCTCTAATCAGCGAGTGCAGGCGTCCGCATGTACACCCATAAATGTGCTCGCACGAGTGTGAACTCAAAAAAAAAAAAAACAAAAGCCTTGTCAGCACAAGTGACCATGGCAGCATAAAAACAAATGGAATAACGTCAGCCAATCACATGGCTGAAACAGCCCCCCCTCCCCCCCCCCCCCCCCACCAAAGGAGGCACTAGGGTGAATGGTTGGTAATTCTTATTCAAATGGGCCTGTCATGCTGAAAGCCTTGTGTGAAAGGAGAAATGGTCTCTAGGCAGGCGGAATGCATGCCTCCATTCTTTGGCAAGGCCATGGCCTCCGTGGATGGACCCTGGGCCGAGACCTCCATAGCCAGAGCACCGGACATAGCGGGTCCAACATCTCCAACTGTGAGAATGCCTCAAGTCCTCGCTGAGACGTTTTGGAAACTCAACTCCTCTCCATGAAAATAGGAATCAAACCCACAACTCTTAAGTTGTGAGGCCAACACGTCACCCAACTACTTCAGAGTATAACGATAATTCATTTAAAGTCATCTGTAAGTGATAAGATTTCATTTAAATATACCACTTATCAGACAGAATTACAGGCAATAACTGATTTGCTTAAAGACAGCCATTATGAACAGGACAAAATAGGAGACCATTACTTACAGCAGAGGGGTTCTGTACCACACTGAGACCTCAGTGACACCTCTGGATCAAGCTGCACCATGACCTACTGCATTCCACCTGCTTTTTCCTCCACTCAGTTAATCTTTCAACAATTCAACTCACATGGGTAAATGAGGATAGAAAAATCAGTATGCGTTCCAAATTTTTTTTTCCTAAGTCTTTCTGAAAAGAATTGGCATGTCTCACCCAGTTTCCCTTGACCTCCTCTCTATCTGTACTGTAATGTATCTGTATAAAGTATAAGTATGTAAGTAAGCAAATAAAGCAAGTATATTAAGTATGATAAAAAAAAATATATATAAAGAAAAGAATGGTGAAGGGCAGTAGAATGTTTAAGAACTCAGGAACTAAAAGTTCCTGGTACAGAGTGTAGCACAATGGACCCTGATGTTAGCGTAAATATCCTGCAAAAATGGCAGATTCAGTAAAACTGTGAGATGTACTGATAGCTTTGAACAAGGCTGGTTTTGTATTCTACTGAACTGGCATGGCACACGATGAATGATTCTGAGTGACACGAGTAAAATTATTTTTTAAAATAGCATATAGATTCTACTCAGGCCAAGAGTGCTGTGGGTAGAGTAGAGGGGTCCCATGTTTTCATAGTAATTGTCAGATGAAGATCAAAGTAGAAAGCATTTTCACTGACCATACCTCAACATGCAGGCTGATTTCAGACATAGAGAGCAAGAGGGAAAAAACACCTCAACATTTGTATTAGCTGCACCCTCTACATCTTAAATCTAGAACAAACTAGAAGATTATGGAACTCTACTTGTCCATTAAAAGAGCTGGAAGACGTAGCCCTGTGGATTTCTTGTTTTATAACTGTCATCTGAATCATTTCTCAAATTAGTATCAGTCAGAGTTCCTTAAAAAAAAGAAAAAGAAATGAACAATGCATTGCCTAGAGCAAAGCTATGATCAAGTGTGAGTGTGTGTGGAAATGGGGGCATGGGGGCAGTACAGACAATGTACGATAGAACTTATATATTTCAACTGTTTTCCAAGCAGAAAACACAGCAGTAACCTTGGACACAACAAGAAAAAGCAGTAGCTAAGCATTGCTAATATGAGCAAATCCTACTCAGTTCCCATGTGACATTGCAAAAAAAAAAAAAAGCTCACACCGCTTGAAGATAAAAGGACGGACTAAGAGATAGCCAAGATTGGGAAGTGAGGAGTCAGAAATGAAAGGATTTGTGTGCTGTGTCCACAAACTGTGCATTAAGACTGAAGAATTAATCTTTAACTATAGCAAAAGGCACACCTGCTGTGTATACAGAGAGCTGCTGGTTCTCAGCCCATTCCTACAGATAGGAAGAAGGAAATTTTTCCCTTGATTGCCTCACTGTCATGCAACCCCGACCCCCAAGCCAACCACCCCCAACAGACATTATTTTCATGCACCTTCCTCATAAATAACCTTTCCTTAATATTCATTCATTTCATTAGTATCACCCAAGCAGATATTTGTCAACGAAACAGAAACTCCTTAGGATGCTTAAAGTTTCAATATAATCCGAAAGTTCAAAGAAGAATAGAGTGCAGCGAGTACATAGTAAAACAGAGTAATGCACAGACAGATTCTACATCTGAGAGAAAACACATTTCCTGAAAGATCCATACATTAAAGCTACGAAAATACAGAAAAGACAGAAAAAATACTCTGAGCACAGAGTTTTTTCACAGTTTTCATAAATTATCTCCTGTTATTAAGAACATGGCTGTTGAAATTATGGGTTTCCTAACCATTATCATTAATTTGTCTTCAAAGGAAGTGAGATCAAGGTCAGATCCTGACACTGGACGCCAATTATATCAGTCAGCACACATTTATGGATGAACCAAGAAAAGTATTAATTTTGTCATACACATTCCAGCATTTTGTGCACTCCTTAAACAGGCAGAAAAACTAATACAGGTTTAAATAGAGATGAACATTCATGATCCTCTGAAAGAAGAATAATCCAACAAAAAAAATCACGCCCTCCATTCTGTTAACACTAATCATAAACACAGTCATGCTAGTTTAAGTATTTAAATGTATTTTCCTGTGTTTTTTCCCCAAATAATACTCATGAGGTTAATTCAACAAGCTATTTCAGACCTGCTTCTCAAACACTGTTCTTTTACATTAGAGACACACTTCAGAAGTATGATTTTATGGAACGTATTTGTCTCATTGGTACACCAACAACGCCATTGCGAGATTTACCTTGAAGACCCATCAGCGTAACATCCAGGTGCTTTTCCGCTGCATTACCTGTGGTTGTAACACTACTGTAGCTGGAGTACACATACTCCAGTTACATACCAATGATGTCTGCATTGCGTTATACAGTCAGGACCATAAATATTTGGACAGAGACAAAGTTTTTCAATTTTTAAGTACTGTACATTACCACAATAAATTTTAAAAGAAACAAGTCAGATGCTGTTGAAGTGCAGACCTTCAGCTTTAATTCAGTGGGTAGAGCAAAAACATTGCATACAAATGTGGGGAACTAAAGTAAGTTTTCTACACAATCCCCTCCTTTCAGGGGTTCATAAGTAATAGGACAAATTAATATAGCTGCAAATAAAATGTTCAATTCTAATACTTAGTTGAAAACCCTTTGCAGGCAATGACTGCCTAAAGTCTTGAACTCATGGGCATGACCAGACACTGGGTTTCCTCCTTTTTAATGCTCTGCCAGGCCTTTACTGCAGCAGCTTTATGATGCTGTTTGTTCTGTCTGTAGTTTAGTCTTTAGCAAGTGAAATGCATGCTCAATGGGGTTGACTCAGGTGACTGACTTGGCCATTCGAGAATATTCCACTTCTTTGCTTTAATAATGTCCTGGGTTGCTTTTGCTGTGTGTTTTGGGTCATTGTCCATCTGTATTATGAAACTCCGCCCAATCAATTTGGCTGGATTTGGCTGCATTAGAGCAGACATGATGTCTCTGAACACCTCAGCATTCATTCGGCTGCTTCCATCCTGTGTCACATCATCAAGAAACACTAAAGACCCAGTGCCACTGGCAGCCATGCACGCCTAAGCCATCACACTGCCACCACCATGTTTTACAGATGATGTGGAGTTATTTGGATCATAAGCTGTTCCAGCCCTTCTCCATATGATTCTGCGATCATCCACCACTGTTGTCATCTGTGGATGTCCAGGCCTTTTCGCGTTGCTGAGTTCACCAATGCTTTCTTTCTTTCTCAGGATGTATGAAACAGCTAATGTTGTGGCAATTTCTCGATTAGTTTTTTTCTCTTTTCGCAGCCTAAGGATGGCCTGCTTTACCTGCATACGGAGTTCCTTTGACCGCATGTTTTATGTTCACACCTTCCAAATCTTCCAAATGCAAACAAGACACCTCAAATCAACTCCAGGCCTTTTATCTGATTAATTGATAATGAAAGAACGAAGGAATTGCCCACACCTGTCCATGAAATAGCTTTTAAGTGAATTGTCCAATTACTTTTGGCCCCTTTAAGGCTTGGTGATACTTTTGCTAGATTTTCAGTTTTATTTTTAGAATGAGACACTGGATAAAACCTGTATTACAAGGAAGAATCATACCAAAGCAATTTTCAACCAGAGTATCTCCTCCTACTGTATACCTAAGAATCTATGTTTTCAGTCCATTAGGGTACGAAAGTGAGGCTGTGGAATCTGCATCACAGCTGGTCTTTAAATCACTCCCATGTGTTAAAACTTGCTTTTCAGAGGCAGCCAATCTACAGCCCTAACACTGAATACCACGCAGCCAATCGACAGCCGTAACACTGAAAGGCCTCTTGAAAGAATACCATCACCCTAAAAACATTACTGACAGTATCAATCCTAACCATCTCAGGGAGAAGCACCATCATCCTGAGCATCCTCTGCCAGCGCATTAATTCACTTACTTTTCTGTATTTATTATTATATTCTTCATATAAGAATTAGGTTATAAAATGATGAGCAGGAAAATATTAACCATCTGTCAACTGCTCAAACTTGTACCCCCTGGTTGGGATGTCAGGTCATTGCAGGGCAAACACACTGCACTCTACAGTTGAGTAAGAGGCACCAATCAGCCTCACTGCATGTGTTTTGGCAGCTGGAGGAATCCAGAGTACCCAGAGGAAACCTGAGCAACATGAGGAGAAAATGCATACTCCACACACACACAGAGCATAGGTGAGGCTCAAACCCTCAACCGTGGAGGTGTGAGGATAAAGTGTGACACAATGGGCCATGATGCCACCCACTGGGCAGGATGTTACTATGCAGCCAATCAATGTAGCTAATATTGCCATTACAAAAATTTATTTGAATCCATAATAGTATGGGGGCAAATTGGTGGCTCTGA